GTCCCCATACCTGAGGTGGCACATCGAGCCACCCCCCTCCCAGTTCTGATCCCTCCTCCCCATGCCCACCTTTTCTGAATCTGTCATTAACAGGGCTCGCCAAGCGACGGCGAGCCTCGCTCACCAACCGCATGCTACCACACACTGTGCATGTGCAGACCGCGCTACGCATGCACTCACTGCGCTGTGTGGCCACACCGGGCTTAAATCTACTCACCGGGTGAGTAGATTACGTTAATTGTCGAGCCCTGGTCATTAATACAGACTGCTTTTTTTGGAAAACCAAACAGGTGTATTTATTTAGCAGTCAGGGAAGGGACAAGGGGAGGGGTTGTGGTGGAGAAGGGATACAGCAGCAAGCTAGACGCCTCTATTTGGAAGGCACTGGGGAAAGTTTGTGGGGTGCTTGAGAGAACCTCTTCTTCAAGGCTTCCTAGAGGCACCCCCCCACCCCCCAACTGATGGGCCTGGCAGATGGCAGCTGTCCAGGGATGCTCGAACGCTCGGCCCGTGCAGACAGCATCTACCCCACCACCCTGGGAGGAAGGCCTCCCCCTTCCTCTCCACAATATTGTGAAGGACACAACATGCTCCCCTACGTCCAGGTGCGTGGAGGCGGCACCGGAAACGTGCCTTGAGGCGGCCAAAGGCACACTCCACCTGGATCCTGGCCTGGTTCAGGTGGGCATTAAACTGGTCCCTGCTGGGATCCAGGTGGCTGGTGTACAGCTTCATGAGCCACGGCATGAGGGGGTATGCCAGTCCCCCACTATGCACAGAGGCATGTGCACATCCCCGACTGCAAAGTCCCGGCAGGGGAAAAATGTGCCTGCCCCCAGCTTACGGTACAGGTTTGAGTTCCTGAACACGTGGGCATCATGTGCCCTGCTCAACCACTCGACAAAAATGTCAGCAAAATGTCCCCTGCAGGACAACGGAAAAGTAGCCCTTCTGATTTATGTACTGGGCTACTCGATGGTCTGGTGCATGGATGGGGATGTGGGTCCCATTGATTGCTCCCTGCAATTCGGGAACCCCAGGGCATTAAGTCTGTGTGGGAGACCTGGATGCGACCTTGGCCGGATAACCCTCCTCCGCAGGAGAGAGTTGATGGCCCTCACCACCTGCAGAAGGAGACAAAGAAACACACCAAACAGAGAATGAAAAAGAGGGGGTGCCTGAGCCCTTGGGGGGTGGCTGCCCTGCTCCCCTCCCCAGGCTGCCCTTGCCCCCCCAAACACCCCAGGAGCCACCTCCTATGGTGCTGCTTCCCCCTCCCCAGCAGCAGGATTGTGTGAGGGCGGGATGGCACAAGCCCCCAGGGATGGGGCTTCCCACCCCCACAGTCCCCAGGCCCCCTCTCCCAAGGGTCCCCCTTATCCAACACTCCGCACCTCATACAGGGACTGCAGCCCACAGTGCCTTACCTCCATGAGAAGAGCCTCGACGGTGGACTTCCCCACTCCAAATTGGTTGCCCACTGACCAGTAGCTGTCGGGGGTGGCCAGCTTCCAGAGAGCGATTGCAACCCGCTTCTCCACGGGGATGGTGGGTGGCAGGTGGGTGTCGCATCTCCAGAGGGCAGGGGTGAGCGAAGCACACAGTTCGAGAAAGGTGGCCTTCCACATGTGGAAGTTGTTGAGCCACTGCTGGTCATCCCACCCCTTTATCACCAGCTGGTCCCACCAGTCAGAACTGGTGGACAGCCTCCAGAATCGTCTCTTGACCGTGGGGTGCAGGTGCAAGGGCATTGCTCCCGCATCCAGGCAGAGGGACTCAGGGTATGTCTACACTACAAAGTTAATTTGAACTAACAGCCATTAGTTTGAATTAACATTAATAGGCACTACACAGGCAAACCGCTAGTTCAAACTTAATTTGAACTAGCGGACTCCCATGGACAGCACTGCAACCCACACCTTTGTGGGCGGATCCCAGGGAGGACCAGGCTGCTCCCGGCTCTTCTACTGCCCATGAGGGAATCTCACTGTGGCCAGACATTTCCCTTGGCTGCCTGTGTGTGGGCCAGGACAGGGGGGGAGCTGGGAAGAGGGCAGCACAGTCCACCGGGCACGTCGGGGCCCCTGGGACACAGGGTCCACTGTGCAGGCCACACATGGCCTTGCACCCAAAACATCCCCTCTTCTGATCCATGGACTGTTGGTCACTGCTCATAGAGGAGGGACAGTGTCTCCAGGATGACTGATCCCCTCTCCCTCTTGTTTGTTCTTCATAGCCGGACTAGCTGGGACAGAGAGCCAAGCCACACCACTGCAGCCATCCTGTCAAAGCCTGGGGGACCCAAAGGCATGCCAGGATGTATGAGGACCTGATGCGGCAGCACACCAGTGTCCTCCATGACATCCACCAGACCCTGGTGCACAAGGTCCATGCCAACCTCGAGTGGTGGGAGCAGGCCTGGGACCAGCTGATTGCAGCGGTGTGGTAACATGTGCATTGTCATGTCCTGCCTGATGGACCACACACCTGATGCCATTGCTCCTGGCTTCCACCCTCCTGCCTCCCATGCTATGCACATTCCCCCTCCGCCTGTCCCCCCACCATGCCTCTGCTTCCTCGCCCAGCAATTCCCTGCCAACCCTGACTCCGCTGCAGCCCCCCTTCCTTTCCATCACTTAGTGGTCCCCAGACCTGCATAACCTCAACAAGGTCCCCATACCTGAGGTGGCACATCGAGCCACCCCCCTCCCAGTTCTGATCCCTCCTCCCCATGCCCACCTTTTCTGAATCTGTCATTAACAGGGCTCGCCAAGCGACGGCGAGCCTCGCTCACCAACCGCATGCTACCACACACTGTGCATGTGCAGACCGCGCTACGCATGCACTCACTGCGCTGTGTGGCCACACCGGGCTTAAATCTACTCACCGGGTGAGTAGATTACGTTAATTGTCGAGCCCTGGTCATTAATACAGACTGCTTTTTTTGGAAAACCAAACAGGTGTATTTATTTAGCAGTCAGGGAAGGGACAAGGGGAGGGGTTGTGGTGGAGAAGGGATACAGCAGCAAGCTAGACGCCTCTATTTGGAAGGCACTGGGGAAAGTTTGTGGGGTGCTTGAGAGAACCTCTTCTTCAAGGCTTCCTAGAGGCACCCCCCCACCCCCCAACTGATGGGCCTGGCAGATGGCAGCTGTCCAGGGATGCTCGAACGCTCGGCCCGTGCAGACAGCATCTACCCCACCACCCTGGGAGGAAGGCCTCCCCCTTCCTCTCCACAATATTGTGAAGGACACAACATGCTCCCCTACGTCCAGGTGCGTGGAGGCGGCACCGGAAACGTGCCTTGAGGCGGCCAAAGGCACACTCCACCTGGATCCTGGCCCGGTTCAGGTGGGCATTAAACTGGTCCCTGCTGGGATCCAGGTGGCTGGTGTACAGCTTCATGAGCCACGGCATGAGGGGGTATGCCAGTCCCCCACTATGCACAGAGGCATGTGCACATCCCCGACTGCAAAGTCCCGGCAGGGGAAAAATGTGCCTGCCCCCAGCTTACGGTACAGGTTTGAGTTCCTGAACACGTGGGCATCATGTGCCCTGCTCAACCACTCGACAAAAATGTCAGCAAAATGTCCCCTGCAGGACAACGGAAAAGTAGCCCTTCTGATTTATGTACTGGGCTACTCGATGGTCTGGTGCATGGATGGGGATGTGGGTCCCATTGATTGCTCCCTGCAATTCGGGAACCCCAGGGCATTAAGTCTGTGTGGGAGACCTGGATGCGACCTTGGCCGGATAACCCTCCTCCGCAGGAGAGAGTTGATGGCCCTCACCACCTGCAGAAGGAGACAAAGAAACACACCAAACAGAGAATGAAAAAGAGGGGGTGCCTGAGCCCTTGGGGGGTGGCTGCCCTGCTCCCCTCCCCAGGCTGCCCTTGCCCCCCCAAACACCCCAGGAGCCACCTCCTATGGTGCTGCTTCCCCCTCCCCAGCAGCAGGATTGTGTGAGGGCGGGATGGCACAAGCCCCCAGGGATGGGGCTTCCCACCCCCACAGCCCCCAGGCCCCCTCTCCCAAGGGTCCCCCTTATCCAACACTCCGCACCTCATACAGGGACTGCAGCCCACAGTGCCTTACCTCCATGAGAAGAGCCTCGACGGTGGACTTCCCCACTCCAAATTGGTTGCCCACTGACCAGTAGCTGTCGGGGGTGGCCAGCTTCCAGAGAGCGATTGCAACCCGCTTCTCCACGGGGATGGTGGGTGGCAGGTGGGTGTCGCATCTCCAGAGGGCAGGGGTGAGCGAAGCACACAGTTCGAGAAAGGTGGCCTTCCACATGTGGAAGTTGTTGAGCCACTGCTGGTCATCCCACTGCTCCATGACCAGCCGATCCCATCAGTTGGAACTGGTGTCCAGCCTCCAAAAGCATCTCTCCACTGTCGGATGTGGTTGCAAGGGCCTTGCTCCCGTGGTAGCCAGAGTGGAGCAGCCACAGCCACAGCAAGGGACCCTAGCATGAGCTTGGGGTCCAGGTCCTGCAGGACCAGGAAGGTGACCGGCACGAAGTGCTGCAGAAACTGCAGTATGACCG